TTTTTTTTTTTTTTTTTTTGAGGGGGCAGCAGCAACCATATAAATATAACTGATACAGGCTTATTATGTTTTATTTATTTTTTTCCCGTTTTTTTCGAAACATTCCCAAATGTGTTAACTATAACATGAAATATCTCGATTCTCAAATATGTGTAAGTAGATGCATTTTGCACCTTTATGTTAGTTGATCTATAATGGGCTATGAGCAAAGTAGCCTAATAGTGCAATCAAACTTCACATAAAAACACGGCTTTTTACTTAAGTACTATATATGGGTGTCATGCCATTATATATGACTGACTTTGTTTTCCTCCTGTCACCTGTCAACACATTTCCATCTCTATCTTTAATCAATTTAACTTGCTGCATATCCTTTCCATCTCTATCCCTCTGCCTCGCCAACCGATACAAATCCCTCTCACCTTCCTTACTATCTAACCTTGCATACAAGTCCTCATAAGCTTTCTGTTTGGCCTTTGCCACCTCTATCTTAACCTCACGCTGCATCTCCCTATATTCCTGTCTACCTTCCTCCGTCCTCTCACTGTCCCACTTCTTCCTAGCTAACCTCTTTCTCTGGATACTCTCCTGGACTTCCTCATTCCACCACCAAGTCTCCTTGTCTTCTTTCCTCCTTCCAGATGACACACCTAGCACCTTCCTACCTGTCTCCCTGATCACTTTGGCTATAGTAGTCCAGTCATCTGGAAGCACCTCCTGACCACCTAAAACTTGTCTCAACTCCTCCCTGAAAACCACACAACACTCTTCCTTTTCCAACTTCCACCACTTTGTCTTCTGCTCTGCCTTTGCTCTCTTCATCTTCCTCACCACCAGAGTCATCTTACACACCACCATCCTATGCTGTCTAGCTACACTCTCTCCTACCACTACTTTGCAATCGCTAATCTCCATCAGATTACAGCGTCTACATAAGATATAGTCCACCTGTGTGCTCCTGCCACCACTCTTATATCTCACCCTGTGTTCCTGCCTCTTCTGAAAGTACATGTTCACCACAGCCATCTCAATACTTTTAGCAAAGTCTACCAACCTCTGTCCTTCTGGGTTCCTTTCCTGAAGACCAAACCTCCCCATCACTTCCTCATCCCCACTATTCCCTTCACCAACATGTCCATTAAAGTCTGCCCCTATCACCACTCTCTCACCTCTGGGAACACTCTGCATCACTTCCTCAAGCTCGCTCCAGAATCTGTCTTTCTGTCTCTGGCTCAGCGCCAGCCAAAGCGTGAAGATTTGAATTTAGCAGCTAATGCTGTGCCACACTGAATGTTCTAAACACGCCGGTGTGATTGTATGAAAAATAAAAAATATTACTTGGCTATTTTTTGTCTTTTGGAAGCTGCATTCAAAATCCACTTGGCTCAGAAATCTGAGGGGGCACGAATCATTTGTTTTGTTTCGAACCAGTGATTCAGAGGGCGTTTCAAACGACTGCCAAAATCACGTGATTTCAGTGAAACAGGCTTCATTTTACGAACGTTTGGAAATTTCATGAAGCTGTGTCTCATTTAGAAGGCTGCGCCCTCCGGAGGTCGCATCCTCTCGGTCTATCAAGGTCCAGGATGCGTATACGGGGTGTCCTCAACCTAGAATTAAACGAGACGGCCTTCGTAGGACGGGCGGAAAAGGAAACAGCAGCGTACGTACAACAGACATCTGTTAGAGAAAAAAAGGAGGAGGATATCAAGAACAAAGTTTCATCCGGCGGAGATTTGAGGTAAGTTGTAGCATAGTTCCTTTAATATATTATTTAATATAAGTCCATATATATAAAGCCTTTGGTTGTAGGGTATTGAGGCAATAATTATATAACTACATTTATCTTACTACATATTACTATATACATTATATACAATGTTATTATTATTGTGATCCCACTATTTTTAAAAGTGCTACGAATTACATAATTTATCATAATTTAACCCAGTGTTCACAATTTTAAGATAATTTTAGGAAAGCTATTAAGCAAAAAACAAACAAAAAGAAATACTGTACTAAAGTTGTGTCTATTAAACTACATATTAAATATACATGAATGAAATTTAATGCTGTAAAACTAGATTATAAATACATTAAACACAATACTGAACATTACAAAAATAACCTAATGTAATGCTGTAGATCCGTTATATATACATGATTAAACACAATATTGAACATCAAGAATGAACTGAAAAACTATATTATATATA